AGAATTGATAATAATATATGTGAGTTTAATATTGCCATTTAATGTTAGCTGGCTGTTTTGCCTATTAGTTGATGTAAATTCTTGATTATGTTGATGCTTTTTACTTTTTGGTATTTTTTAGAAAGGCTGATGCTGGTTGTTCCTTTCTATGTGTAGTGGTTCTTTCAGAAGCTCTCGTAAAGCAGGCCTGGTGGTGATGAAATCTCTGAGTGCTTGCTTGTTCACAAAAGATTTTATTTTTCCTTCGCTTATGAAGCTTAGTTTGGCTGGATGTAAAATTCTGGGTTGAAAGTTCTTTTCTTTAAGGATGTTGAATATCGGCCCCCACCCTCTTCTGGCTTGTAGGGTTTCTGCTGAGAGATCTGCTGTGAGTCTGATAGGCTTCCTTTTATGGGTAACCTGACCTTTCTCTCTGGCTGCCCTCAGTATTTTCTCCTTCATTTCAACCCTGGTGAATCTGGCGATTATGTGCCTTGAGGTTGGTCTTCTTGAGGAATATCTTTGTGGTGTTCTCTGTATTACCTGGAGTTGAATATTGTCCTGCTTTGCTAGGTTAGGAAAGTTTTCCTGAATAATATCCTTAAGCGTATTTTCCAGCTTAGATTGATTCTCTTCATCACATTCAGGTACACCTATCAAGTGTAGATTAGGTCTTTTCACATAGTCCCATATTTCTTGGAGACTTTGCTCGTTCCTTTTTATCCTTTTTTCTCTAATCTTGTCTTCTCATTTTATTTCATTAAGTTGGTCTTCGACTTCTGATATCTTTTCTTCTGCTTGATCAATTTGGCTGTTAAAACTTGTGCATAGTTTGCGAAGTTCTTGTGTTGTGTTTTTCAGCTCCATTAATTCACTTATATTCCTCTCTAAATTGTGTATTCTTGTTAACATTTCGTCAAACCTTTTTTCAAAGTTCTTAGTTTCTTTGCATTGGGTTAGAACAAGTTCTTTTAATTCACAGAAGTTTCTTATCATCCACCTTTTGAAGGCTGCTTCTGTTAATGCAACACACTCGTTTTCCATCAGGCCTTGTTCCGTTGCTGATGAGGAACTGTGATCCCCTGTAGAGGGGGAGGCGTTCTGATTTTGTTCTCAGCCTTTTTAGGCTGTTTTCTTCCCTTCTTTATAGATTTATCCATCTGTGGTCTTTATAATTGGGTTTCTGAGTGGACGTCCAACTTGTTGATTCCCAGCGCTAAAATCTGAGCAACCCACTGCCCTGGCCAAAACAGTGGCGTTATGATTGATGGCGCTTTTCTGAGTCTGCACCAAGAACTGCCGCACCAAGGCAGTGGCAAAACCACCTCGCCGGCCACAAGAGTGGCGCTGGCGACCCGTGGGGCTCCTCCGCTGGGAATCTCCTGGTGCATGATCAACAAAAATTCGTCTGAAAGTGTGGCATCCTCTTGTTCTCTGCGCTTTCACTGGGAGCTACAATCCAAGTGATCAGCCATCTTGGATCTCTCTCCCCAGCTCAGTTCTTAATGTCCCCTGAGCAGTTTCAACATTTGCAAGAGATTATAATTCAGCAGCTAAATATCCCTGAAAATGATGAACTTCTTCCAGTCCATCAAGAGCCCAGAATTCAGCCTCCAACTCTGCTCTCCTCAGACTTGGAAAGTCCATTGAGTGATGAGGTGGTATTTTCACCTCTAGATCTGTCTTCAGTATTCAGAAGTAATTCACCTTTGCCTAATACCACAGTTAAAAATGTGGATCTGGAGCTTACCAAACCTACAGCAGTCACTATGGGGGTTGAACCTTCTCCAGTTCAGCAGGACAACCCTCCTACTCCCACTGAGCGGGCAGACTTTTCTCTAGTCCAGCCTGATCTCCCTTCCTCACCTCTGCATTATCCTGAAAAGATTGAATCTTCAGTCCAGCAAGAGGCCACAATTCAGACTCCAGATTCTCCTAAGGAGGTAGAACCTACTCTAGTCTGGCAAGAGTTACCAGCTGAACCACCATTGCCCCTTAAGGAGGTTGAACCATCTGTAACCCAGTAGGAAGCCTCAGGTCATCCTCCGAAGTCCACAGAAGAGATCATCAGTCTTCCACTGCAGCAGGAGATACCAGCTCAGCCATCAGAGCCATCTGGGAAGGTTGAACCATCTCCTGTCCTACAGCAGGCCCCAACTGAGCTTTTAGAGCCACCTAAAGAGGTAGGATCCTCTCCAGTCCAGCAAGCAGTCCCTGCTCAGTCTTCAGAGCCCCCTATGGTGATAGAACCCTTTCTGACTCAGCAGATGGCCCCATCTTTGCCTCCAGAGTTCCTTGAAGAGGTGGAACCATCTCTAACTCAGCAGGACATTCCAGCTCAGATTCCAGAGCCCCCTCTGGAGACAGAACCTTCTCCACCCCAGCAGGAAGCCACAGTTCAGGCTCTAGAGCCCCCTAAGGAGGTAGAACCTTCAAGCCAGCAGATGGTCCCAGCTCAGGTTCCAGAGCCACCTAAGGAGGTTGCAGCTCAACCTCCAGCTCATTATGAGGTGACATTTCCAACACCAGGTCAGGATCAAGGTCAGTATTCAACATTGCCTAGTGTCACAGTTCAACCTTTGGACCTGGGGCTTACCATCACTCCAGAATCCATGACAGAGGTTGAACTTTCTCCAGCCATGCAGGAGACCCCAACTCAGCCTCCTAAGAAAGCTGTATCCCAACTTCCAGTATATCAAGAGGTAACAGTTCCAACACCAGGTGAGGCTCAAGCTCAGCACCCAGTGTCACCCAGCGTTACAGTTCTGTCATTGGACCTGGGACTTACCATACCTCCAGAACCCACTACGGAGGTTGAACATTCTACACCCCTGAAGAAGACTGTAGTGACTCCAAAGCACCCTAAGGTGACACTTCCACATCCAGACGAGGTTCAGACTCAGCATTCAAACCTGACTCAACTCACAGTTCAACCTTTGGATCTGGGGCTTACCATCACTCCTGAATCTACCACAAAGGCTGAACCTTCCACAGCCCTGACGGCCACAGCTCCTCCAAAACAGCCTGAGGTGACACTTCCATCTTCAGACAAGGGTCAGACTCAGCATTCAAACCTGACTCAAGTCACAGTTCAGCCGCTGGACCTGGAGGTTACTATAACGACAGAACCTACTACAGAGGTTAAACTGTCTCCAACCACGGAGGAGACCTCAACTCAGCCTCCAGATCAGGGGCTTGCCATAACTCCAGAATCCACTACAGAGACTGGACATTCTACAGCCCTGGAGAAGACTACAGCTCCGCGTCCAGACGAGGTTCAGACTCAGCATCAAAACCTGACTGAAGTCACAGGTCCACCTACTGATCTAGAACCTACTCAGGATTCACTGGTGCAGCCTGAAACTTACGCCCAAAATGAGGCTTTAACTGCACCAGAGGAACAGGCCTCCGCAAGCACCAACATGTGTGAGCTCTGTACCTGCAGAGATGAGACGCTGTCGTGTATTGATCTCAAACCGAAGCAGAGGCTCCGCCACGTGCCTGTGCCAGAGCCCAACACCTACAATGTCACCTTCACTATCTTGTAAGCATCACCTTTCCTCCATTGTCCTCTGTGTCCTGCCTGACATGGCAGGCTTTTCCTGGAGGCCTTCCTGGGCCTTCCTTATCTCCCCAAGCCATACTGACAGCTGACTTTCTGCTTTCACCTTTGCTTGTCCACTCTTCCTTCTCTTTCTCTTTTACTGTTAGGCCCCTTCTCCAGTCTTTTGCTTGTGATTGCTCAGCAACATACATATTAAATGTACAAACAAATTATTGAGTAAGAGAAGTGATACAGAAAATAATATGTGTAATATGATTTCATTTATATAATGTTATATAATGTTCAAGAAGGCAAAACTATGTCATTTATGAATGACCTATAAGAGTTAAAGCTACATTTTATTTTATTTATTTATTTTGAGACAGATTCTCGCTCTGTCTCTAGGCTGTAGTGCGGTGGCGTGATCTTGGCTCACTGCAACCTCTGCCTCCTGGGTTCAAGCAAGTCTCTGCTTCAGCCTCCCAAGTAGCTGGGATTACAGGCACCTGCCACAATGCCCAGCTAATTTTTGTATTTTTTTTTTTTTTGAGACAGCGTCTCGCTCTGTTGCCCAGGCTAGAGTGTTGTGGTGCAATCTCTGCTCGCTGCAACCTCTGCCTCCTGGGTTCAAGTGATTCTCCTGCCTCAGCCTCCTGAGTAGCTGGGATTATAGGTGTGCACCACCATGCCTGGCTAACTTTTGTATAAGTAGAGACAGGGTTTCACTATGTTAGCTAGGCTGGTCTGGAACTCCTGACCTCACGATCCACCTGCCTCAGCTTCCCAAAGTGTTGTGATAACAGGCTGCTGTGCCCAGCCTATTTTATTTATTTTTGAGGAAGGGTCTGTGGTGTGCAAACATGGCTCAGTGCAGCCTAGACCTCCCATACTCAAGTGATCCTCCCATCTCAGCCTCTCCAGTAGCTGGGACTACAGGTGCAGGCCAACATGCCCAGCTAATTTTTAAAATTTTCTAGAGACAAGGTCCTGCTGTATTGCTCAGACTGGTCTTGAACTCCTGGGCTCAAGCAATCCTCCTGCCTTGGCCTCCCAAAGTGCTGGGATTACAGGTGTGAGCCACGGCGCCCAGCCAGAACTATTTATTTTATTTTACATTATTTTTATTTTATCATTTTAATTAATTATTTTTTAATTTTTTTTGAGACAAAGTCTCACTCTGTCGCCCAGGCTGGAGTGCAGTGGTGCAATCTTGGCTCACTGCAGTCTCTGCCTCCCAGGTTCAAGCGATTCTCCTGCCTTGGCCTCTCGAGTGTCTGGGATTACAGGCACACACCACTATCACCTGGCTAATTTTCGTATTTTTAGTAGAGACAGGGTTTCACCATGTTGGCCAGGCTAGTCTTGAACTCCTGACCTCAGGTGATACACCTGCCTCAGCCTCCCAAAGTGCTGGAATTACAGGCATGAGCCACAGCACCAGAACTACATTTTAAAAGCAAGAAAATTATTACAGTGGCACAACTGGCTTGAGCGATTGGAAACAAGATGCAGGACCCCAGGGCAGACACTGAGTGGAATGACATCTTACGCAAAAAGGGCATCTTGCCCCTAAGGAAAGTCTGAAAGAATTGGAAGAGGAGGCAGAGGAGGAGCAGCACATGGTCCAGCAGTCAGTGGTGACAACATATGAAGCTATGACTTTGGAAGAGCTGAAGGATCATGAAGACGAGTTTCATGAGGAAGATGAACGTGCTATTGAAATGTACAGACAGCAGAGACTGGCTGAGTGGAAAGCAACTAAACTGAAGAATAAATTTGGAGAAGTTTTGGAGATCTCAGGGAAGGATTATGTTCAAGAAGTAACCAAAGCCGGTGAGGGCTTGTGGGTCATCTTGCACCTTTACAAACAAGGAATTCCCCTCTGTGCCCTGATAAATCAGCACCTCAGTGGACTTGCCAGCAAGTTTCCTGATGTCAAGTTTATCAAAGCCATTTCAACAACCTGCATACCCAATTATCCTGATAGGAATCTGCCCACGATATTTGTTTACCTGGAAGGTGATATCAAGGCTCAGTTTATTGGCCCTCTGGTGTTTGGTGGCATGAACCTGACAAGAGATGAGTTGGAGTGGAAACTGAATCTGGAGCAATTAATACGGACTTGGAGGAAAACCCTAAGATGCAGATTGAAGACGTGTTGCTGTCCTCACTGCGGCGCTCTGTTCCCATGTGGAGGGACAGCGATTCCGAGGGGGACTGAGGCTGTAGCTGCTATCACGTGCCGAACTTTCTGTGACAAATTGAATTTTTTAAAAAAGGAAAAAGCAAGAATGAATCCTTCTGATTTTTAGTTTTGTATAAATTATGTTTTAAATCTTTACATTTTGGAAATAATCATTGCTGGAAATTCTGTTAAATATTTTACAACTTTTTAAATTATAGTATTTCCTCTAAAAAAAAAAATTAAAACCAGTTCTTGGTATGGTAAATGTCTGTTTTTCTCATTTATATTTTAAGTAAGCCATAAAACCTCATCACTATTTTTTGACATAACTATAAAAAGAAATATTTAGTTTTAAATAAATGTGAATAAATTATACGTCGGAAAATTGCAAACTAAGCCTTATAGACACATTTTTTTATTTCATAAAGAGCAATGAGATTATCAACTCTGTAGCAATGGTCTCTAGGACAAAAGAATCTTAGTATTTATCCTATTTAGAAGAAACAGAAAATTTTTGTGAAACATTCTCATCGAAATAACTGAAATGTTTCAATTTACTGGCATATTTGGTTAAATGTGTTTTCTCTAAAATAGTTTATCTCAGACTGTTAACTAATTTTTTTAGGGGGTATGGAGTTTTGCTCTGTTGTCCAGGCTGGAGTGCAGTGGCATGATCTCAGCTCACTGCAACCTCCATCTTCTGGGTTCAAGTGATTCTCCTGCCTCAGCCTCCTGAGTAGCTGGGATTACAGGCGTGCACGATCACAATCACACCCAGCTAATTTTTGTACTTTTAGTAGAGGCGGGGTTTCACCATATTGGCTGGACTGGTCTCGAACTCCCGATCTCAAACTCCTGATCCACTTGCCTCAGCTTCCCAAAGTGTTGGGATTACAGGTGTGAGCTACCTTGCCTGGCCTGTTAATTCTGATTACTGTAAAAGGACATTATATTATTTTTTGGAAATATATAAACTATCTCAAACTCATTTTGTGTTTCATAAGTGTGATCATGGGCATGTGTGAGATGTGTCCCCCTCAAATATTGTTAGGCTGTCGGCACATTACCCATATGACGTAAAAAAAAATCAAGATGTTTTGTGTACCAGATCCTGTTAGCATTTCTCATTTTTAAATAAATGAACATTGATACTAAAAAAAAAAGAAAAAAGAAAATTATTACAAAAGACAGGATAGTGGTTACCTGTAAGGGTTAGAGAGGTTTATGATTGGAAGGGGGCACACAGGGGCTTCTGGGAACACTAATTTGTTTCCTTGTTGCTGAAGTGATGAGAGACATATAATGTCCACCCTCACGGAGCTGGAGAGGAAGGACAAGGCAAAAGAGAGAAGTCTCGTCTTTAAACTTAGTAGACTCACATAGCGTCTTTCTTCTACAGCGTGTAAGTCATTGTCTAAATAGGTCCAGTTAAAGTACTACAGGGTAGCCATCTTTTTAAAAAATTGTTGGCCACATTTTAAAGTTCACAGGGGAGGGGGAATATCTCATACTCCAGCCCTCCAGAGCCTAGGCCCTCTGTGAAATGTGTCATGGTTTCTTGGACACCATATTGAAACAGGAAAAGTTCCCTTGTTCCCCTTGCAGGGCATGGGATGGGGGGGGGTGACTCGCTTCTTCAGTGCCCTGCTGCTCAAACCTCAAGGGGAGCAGACAGGCAGGCAGGTTGTGGGGCTCCGACCCCACGGCAGTGTCTACGGGTGAATGCTTGCAGCTCCTGAAGCTGCAGTGGGTGTGTGCTACTGGGTGCTCTTTTAGTTTTGCCTTTTTAGGCGGCTTGTGTTAACCAACTCAGTTAGACCCTCTACCTTGTTGCAAGGACAGATGGCTTTCTGTATCCCAGGTTCTTGCCTTGGTGTGCTGGAAGAATCAGATCACACCTGGGCTTGGAGAATGGGTATAAGGTTTTACTGAGTGAAGGTCGCTCTCAGCAGATGGGGAAAGCCAGATGGGATGGAGTGGGAAGATTTTCCCCTGGAGTCGCCCGGGCTGTCCTCCCACTGCCCCAACCAAACTCTGCCTCAGCCCACTGGTTGGTGGCCTGCCTGGGGTGCTCCCCTCGAAGTCCTCTTGATGTCCAGCATGAACACAAAGAAGGGAACAACAGACACTGGGGCCTATCTGAGGCTGGAGGGTGGGAGGAGGGAGGGGAGCCGGAAAAACTACTGGGTACTAGGCTTAGTACCTGGACAATGAAATAATCTGTACAACAAACCCCTGTGATACAAGCTTACCTATATAACAAACTGCGCATGTATCCCCTAACCTAAAATAAAAGCTTTTTTTTAAAAAAAGGAAAAAAACACCTGGAAGAAGAGAAAAATGTTAAATTAAAAAAGAAGAAGAAGACAATGCTCCTAGTGCCCCCATCATTCAGGAATCTCCAAGGGGTTTAGGAGCTCTATGTTAGGAACTGGGGGCAGAGACCAAGTATCTATTTCTTCTTATATCGCATACCCCAGATAGGAAAACAGAAATTACTCTAGATATTTCACAAAAAAGGGTTTCATACAGGCAATTAGTGCTTACCATTGGAGTGGCTAGAGGTGGCGAAGGTTGGGGAGGAGGGGGTTGCACCACTGGCTTTCAGGCTAATTTACCACAGCTGATTTCCAGAGGATGGAAGAAGTCAGGAAATGTGGGGAACTGCTGCTGAGGTCCTTGCAGCCCCATGGTTCCCAGGCTGGTGACTGGCGGGGGATATGGAGTCCAGGTGACCACCAGAGCCTGCACCCCTGCTGCTACGGGGGGAGGAAAGGATGACTCTACCTCCTTCCACATTCCACATTTCACATGACTGCATTTGACTGGCAGCACCCCACTGGCAAGGAAGCCTTGATGTGTGGTTCCTCAGCTTCTGGCACCTGCACAGAAAGGGGTGAAATGAGTGTCACAAGCAGCCAGCACCCTGCAGCACAGCTCCACATCCAGGTGGGGGGACAGCCCCACTTATACTTGGAGGTGTCCTGGCACCTTACGCACTTTTTGGTAGGTGTTTGGGGGTCTGAGGCTTTGCAAAAGAAGAAAGGTGGGGAGTTGACGGTGGAGTCACATGGTGGAGACAGAGGCCTGCAGAGGTGTCACTCTACAGGGCAGCAAGTGACACACAGTCAGCTTCCTTCTTTGACTGGAACAAACCCCTGGGATTGACCCAGAATTTGTTCTGGAATGTTATCACTGGAATGAAAACTGAGCAGTTTGCAGGCCATACAGTATCAGAGAAAACATAGCCCTCATTGAAAAAGACTGCCAGAAAAAAAAAGTGTCCACAGGGAAATTCTGGGACACTTTTGTTTTGTTTTTTGGACAGTCTCACTCTTGTCACCCAGGCTGGAGTACAGTGGCATGATCTTAGCTCATTGCAACCTCTACCTTCTGGATTCAAGTGATTCTCCTGCCTCAGCCTCTTAAGTAGCTGGGATTACAGACACCCACCACCACACCCAGCTAATCTTTATATATACATATACATATACATATACATATATATGTATATGTAGAAACAGGTTTCTGGGAGATTGATGTAGGGGAGTGGGTGTATGAGTTGGAAGCGAGACATTGGGGATCACTATTTTCTCATCTTACTGGTTTTTGGGCCCCCATTCTATTCCTTCTATACAAACCTCACAGAATTTTAACTAGGAAGGCCAGGACGGGTGGCTCACGCCTGTAATCATAGAACTTTGGGAGGCCGAGCTGGGTGGATCACTTGAGGTTGGAAGTTCGAGAGCAGCCTGACAAACATGGTGAAACCCCATCTCTATTAGATGGGTGTGGTGGTGTACACCTGTAATCCCAGCTACTTGGGAGGCTGAGGCAGGAGAATTGCTTGAACCCAGGAGGCAGGTTGCAGCGAGCTAAGATCACACCATTGCACTCCAGCCTGGGCAACAAGAGTGAAACTCTGTCTAAAAACAAACAACAAAACAAAACAAAACAAGAATTTTAACGGGGAGAGATCTTAGTAGTTTGTCCTTTATGATAGGAAATCTGAGAAAGAGAAAGGGAGAGTGTCTTGCCCCATGGCCGCACAATGCACTTTGGCTTTTTCTGTTTTATTCGAATTCAAAAAGAATATGTTGTCCTTTAAGCTTATTTCACAGCTCACTCACTCACCAGCCACAGCCTGCTGTATGAAGATCTGTGAGATGGATAACTCGGCTAGTTGCACTCAGGCATTTGCTTGAGGTGATTCAACTTACAGAATAAAGCATCTAAAAAAAAAAAAAGAACCACTTCATCCCCCGACCCCCATCAAATGATGCTTATGAGACTAAGCCTGAAGAGGACTGATGTAAAATGCTTCTACCTAGCATGGTTGTGCGGTTTGTTCGCTGCACCAGGGCGCTGGCCAAGGGGGTGAGTGGACCAAACATCCTGCCCGGGCTCCATGCTGAGCCACATACAAAGTCCCCCCAGCTATATTGTGGGGTCCTTCTGGACAGACATGGAGAGCTTCTGAAAGTCCCACCTGCATGGAATTATTTTCAAGCCCCCAGATATTGGTGACAATTACCAACGTGTGCATCACAAGGGCGCCGTTGATCTGCCACGTCAGCGTGGGCACGCCGCACAACGTCCTGCTGCAGCGCCGCTTGGCTTCCTTCTTTGACCCGAACACGCGGGCCAACGGCTGGTGCGGGCCAACGGCTGTGGCACCAGCAACCGCTCTTCTCCCGACAATTTCCGCCGGAAGTCCCGGGACGGCGCACGCTGCACGCCTCCGTCAAGTACTGCTGCCAGAGCTTCACCCCCAACTTCAAGAGTGAGACGAATGCCCTCGCGGCCGACATGTGCACCAATGCCCGCCGCATCGTGGGCAAGAGCTGGATACCCAAGGTCAGCCCAAGGTCAGGGTGCTCAAGGCTGAGGATGATGCCTACACCACCTTCATCAGTGAAATGGGCAAGTGTGAGCCGGAGATGGTGGGTGTGGAGCCGGCTTCTAGACAGCCAGCCACGAGGGTGAGGCGGGCCCCTCGGCGAGGCCCTGCAGTAACCCGTAGGCCTGGGAGTCTCCCCACGGGCCGCACACTCCCACACCTGACACACACACATACACAGCGTCAAACTCTGTTAAATATTTGAAGGGATTTATTTTGAGCC